CTTATTCTCTCCACTTCAGCCTTTTTAAAAATGTGTGTCTTATATATAATGTTTAGGGCTTTCGGTTGTACCTAGTAAAAGAATAAGGGGAAAAGTCAACGTTTTCCTGGGGGTAGAATTCTTTTTTTAAAACGGAAAAAATATATGCCTTGCCATGAATAGATAAGCAAGACCTCCTAAATAATGTAAAAATAAAATAATGTTGTTCCATCTAGGTACTATTACTGGGAAAGTACCCAGCTGAGCCCTAGTTTCTGCTTAAAAGAATAGATGTTTATGGCATTACAGACTTCACAGAACCACACTGGGGGATTATCCTGGATATTAACAAGACCCCCTACATCACATCCTGAGGATCCCACACTTTGGGAAGTGCCATTTTATGTAACTGGTCCCTTTCACAATAGAAGCATAGGGAGAATTTTAAAAAGTATTTTTAATGTTATGGAGCATCATACATACCCACTAATAATAAAAGGACACCCATGAGCCCACCACTGGTGAGAGAAACAGAACATTACCAATATTGGGAACACCCTGCTTGCCCCTCCCAATCACATCCTATTTTTTTGCTTTTTGTTTTCACCCCCTGCCCCCACAGTTTTGATATTTAGGCTTTATCATTCTTTAATACATGTGTGTGTATTGTTAATAAAATAGTTTCATTTTAATTATTTTAAACTTTATATAAATGGTATCATACTATGTGTATTCTTCTACAATTTACATGTTTTATCTGACATTATGTCTCTGAAATTCACCCATGTTAATGCATGCATTAGTTTCCATTGATGAATGCAGTATCCCATCATATGGCTATTACAGAATTTGCTTGCCTTGTTGGTGTCTCAAGGATTTTGCAGCCACCACAATATCTGTAAATATCTCACAATATATCTGTGCAATCATTTATCTTCTTTTGTGTATCTAGGAAGAGTAGTGTGCACTTGTTCAACTTCACTGATAATTATTTTCCAAATTTGAATTCTTTTCCAAATTTATAACAATGTAAACTCTCACAAGTAGAGTCTAATATATTCCACCCCTTTGGGTTCATCCTCTTTTCAGCTCTTTGTACTTCCTCGACCTGGGCAGTGGAATTACTGGATCATAGGGTAGATCTATTTTTAATTTTTTTTTTAATTTTTTTAACGTTTATTTATTATTGAGAGACAGAGAGAGACAGAGCATGAGCATGGGAGGGGCAGAGAGAGGAGGAGACACAGAATATAAAGCAGGCTCCAGGCTCTGAGCACAGAGCCCGATGCGGGGCTCAAACTCACGAACCGCGAGATCATGACCTGAGCTGAAGTCGGACGCCCAACCGACTGAGCCACCCAGGCGCCCCTATTTTTAATTTTTTTTGAGGAATCTCCACACTGTTTTCCACAGTGGCTGCACCGGTTTGCATTCCCAGCTGCTATTGGAAATCATAAACAGAAAACCCAACTCTGTTTACCAACAAGGGTTTCCTTTTCTCCATATCCTGGCCAACATCCTTATTTCTTGTCTTTTTGATTCTAGCCATTCTGACTGGTGTGAGGTGATATCTAGTTGTGGTTTTGATTTGCATTTCCCTGATGACGAGTGATGTTGATCATCTTTTCATGTGTCTGTTAGTCATCTGTATGTCTTCTTTGGAGAAAAGCCTGTCCAGGTCCTCTGCCCATTTCTAAGTTGGATTTTTTTTGGTGGTGAATTGTATGGAGTTCTTTATATATTTTGGATATTAATCTCTTATTGGCGATATCATTTGCAACTATCTTCTTCCATTCAGTAGGTTGCCTTTTGTTGATAGTTTTTTCTTCTGTGCAAAAGCTTTTAATATTGGTGTAGTCCCAATAGTTTGTTTTTATTTGTCTTTCCATTTCAAGTGGCATATTTTATGAATAAAGGTTACTAATTTTTAATATATTTAAAAAGTATTTACCAATTCTTTCCTTTTTTTTTTTCTTTTGCTCTTTATGTCTTGTTTTAGAAATTCTTTCCTATCCTGAGGTCATAAATATAATCTCTTATAGTTTTTTCTAAAATGCTGAAACTTTTGGGTTGCCTGTTGCCTGGGTGGCTCAAGTGGTTACGTGTCCAACTTCAGCTCAGGTCATGATCTCGTGGTTCGTGAGTTCAAGCCCTGCATCCGGCTCTGTGCTGACAGCTTGGAGCCTGGAGCCTGCTTTGGATTCAGTGTCTCCCTCTTTCTCTGTCCCTCCCCCCATATGTTAGTGCTCTCTTTCTTTCTCTCAAAAGTAAATGTCTAAAAAAATAAATAAAATGCTGAAACTTTTGCTTTTCCTAATGATCTGCTCCATTTAGACTTTATTAATTATGTGCTCCATAAGACTAAGACCCGATTTTATTATCTTCCATATGGATAACCAATCATTTTAGCTCCATTACTGAATGACCTATCTGTCCCCTATAGCTTTTTTGTTTTCCCCCTGCAAAAAGCTTTATTGTTTTATTGCTTCCATTTGGTCTGTGACTTGGTAGAGCACTCCAGGGTGGTTAAAAAATTGCCTAGTAGTTGCATAGAGAAGCTCAAGCAGAAGCCCTGGCACCAGAGGATTACCAGAGGGGCCCCTCGAAGGCGGTGGGGCTCCAGGGGCTGCTAGTCATGCTTGATGGTGAGGCTTTTGAAGAGATCCTTGCCCAACCCAGCCTGGGGCCAGCCAGCCTGCTAGAAGTGAGTCAGGTGGTCTCCATCCTCTTGATAAGTTTTACCTCCTCATTCAGGAAGTGGCTTTCCAGGAAGTCACAGAGACAGGGGTCTGCATGGGCAGAATCCAGGGGACGCAGACCCAAAAGGGCCTGGTTCAGGTTCTTCTCCAGAGCCAGGGCAGCTTCCATGGTATCCAGGGTTTTACTCCACTCATCTTGGGACAGCTCATATGTCCTAGAAGAGGATGCAGCTGCCATGCTGGTTTTGCATCTTCCAGAGATGCTCAGTATCTTTGGGCTTCTCCTCAGCCAACTTTCAGAAGTGGCCCATGCCCTCCAGAGCCATGTCTTCATAGTAGAAATAGAAGCCTAGAGAGAGATAGGTGCTGGAGGGCCACAGATGCATGTTGGTGAGGTGGTTGACACCCCACCATGGGGGAATAATTCTGACAAACCTAGGAGCTCATGGTTTATTGGTAATAAGGAGCTAGCTCAAAGTAGGGTGCTGACTGGTCCTGGAGGCAGAGAGTGCTGAGAAGATGGCTCTGAAGGTTGCCACTGGAAAAAAGTTTGGAGGGTGGGTGGAGACTGGAAGAAGGGGAGTTCCAGGGTCTGCTCCATCCAAATACTGTTGAAGCAGGAGTCAGATCTGTGAGACTTCCAGGTGCACTAGAATAAACCAGTTCTATTCAGAACTGTAGTTCTGATCCCTTCTGGCATATGAGTTCCTGGATGTGTGGTCTATTTCTGGGCTCCTAATCTATTCCTCTGCTCTGTGTGACTGCACACCAATACCATAGTCTCTCCATTGTTGTGCTTTGTGAAAGCCTTGACAGGCAATATGGCAACTATAGCCTTTTGTTCTTCTTTATGACTAGATATCTTGATTAATCTTGGTCCTTCATCTGCCTTATACATTTTAAAGATTTTTAAAGTTTATTTTTATTTATTTTGAGAGAGAGCTAAAGAGCAAGCAGGGGAGGGGCAGAGAGAGAGAGAGACAGAGAGAGAGGGAATCCCAAGCAGGCTCAGCGGTGTCAACGCAGAGCCCAATGTGGGCCTTGAAGTCACAGACCATGAGATCATGACCTGAGCCGAAGTCAAGAGTCAGATGCTTAACCAACTGAGCCACCCAGGCACCCCTGCCTTATATATTTTTGAGTCAATTTTTCAAGTTTTATGAGAAACCTAGCAAGTTTGACTGGAATTTCACTGAGTCCTTAGGCCAACTATAATTACCAATACTTTGTGATATTGGGTTTTCCAGTCAGAGCTGGGTGAGAGCTGCCCTGGACTTTCGTAGGCCTTCATGCTTAGAGTTGGGTCTGTCTAGATGCCAGCCCCTGTGTTACTGTGTTTCCTGTGGCCACCTGTGGGCCTAGCTCAGCTGCAGGAATCAGAGATCATTAGATGGCAAAGACAGAGAGCCCACCAAGCCTTCAGAAGATTCATGAATTGCCTATGTACCAAAAGCCTCTCCACCCATGGTACAGTCACCTCTCCTCTACTGAGTAGCAACTCGGGAATGAGAGATGATCCCAGGTCCAGTGCCGTGCTCTGGGCCTCCCAAATCTACCTGGGAAATCCCAGAAACCCCAGGCATCCCCATCCTCCCTGTGTTCTTCTTCCATGATTAGTTCACACAAAGGCACATGATTCATCTTAGGTTAGTAAAAGTTATTGCTGGGAACTTCTGGGGAAATTTTACCTGTTCTTGAAAGAGAGGCACAGAAAGGAAGGACAGACTCCTGTGTGGCACATTGTGGCTGTGGTTTGGGCTCTGGAACTGCCACATGTCCAGAGTGAAGCAAACACACTACACAGGGAAGCACCAAGAACCAGAGAGAAACATCAGCAACACTGGAGTATCCCAAAGACTCTCTTCTGCACTGGGCTTCTATCTGGGGAGCAACCCCTGATCTGTTTAAATCAGACAGAATTGGATTTTCTGTTTATGCCTTCAATAGCATCTTCTCTGATAATCCCTGAAGAGAACCCTAAATTCCCTCTACGAAACTCCCTACCCCACTGTCAGCCCATGTGCTTGGTGGGAACCCTCCCCCAGCTCCAAGAGTGGTTTCCATGACCTTGGCTAATGAGGGGGCATATTCCTGATCCGTGAAGGTCCTGGACAGGAACCTAGTGCAGCCCCTCCCTGTCTGAACTTACAAACTCTGCAGCAGTGGAGGCCCCTCTGGTCGTTTTTATGCCAGAGTCTCTGGGCCTTCCCTTGAGTTGTAATGGAAGAAGCTCCCTTGGTTCCTTGAGCTGGTTGGAGCCCTGTACCCTAGAGGGTAGTGTGTGCCACACCCCACAAAAGAGTGAACCAGTATAGCCAGCCCCTCTGGCCACTCCTGACTACTTGTTTATTACCATTCATTAAGCACCCACTCACTGTGTGCCTGGTTCTGGGTGACAGTGGTGAACAAGTCCAATGGCGGTTGTACTTGATGATGTTTCATCCATTCAGCTCCTGAACAATGAGTTCTGTGGTTGAAGCCTCACAAGTCAGTGGAAGTGCTACTGTGAGTCTCAACCGTTCTGAGTCCTTTATGGCAGGAGAAGTAGTGGCCGCCAGTGTTTCTGTTTGCTCTGCTGGGAGACTGAGGTCCACGCACTCTGTGCCTCAAGGGTGCACCACTGTCTGGATCTTCCATCTACAGCGTCCCCATGCCTTCCTCTCAGGCAGGACACGATTCTTTCTGCACATGGGCTCCACAGAGGACCCTCTTCTCCCGTGTCCTAGATACTGGGTGAAGGCCAAACCCTTTTCAGGGGTCTAGGCCAAAGGGCTCACATCCCTTCTCCACGTGTGGCTCTCAGCATGTCATTGTGCTGTAAGAACCATGTGTCTGGGTGGCCCTGATTGTAAATAGGTTGTCTGATGCTGAGCCTCAGCTCTGAGCTTGGAAATGTCATTGTGAAGGCAAATGTTGGAATGTGTCTAGGGGGTTGGATGCCCATTATGTCTCTTTCCTATGAACATTTTTGTGGATCGAAAGTTACTTTTCTAACAAGGATGAGAATTCTGTGTGTGTCTTGAGTATAAAGTGCACAGAATGAAATGAGGAAAAAAAAACCCCACATATCTTTGGGATACAGAGAATAAGGTTTCAGATATGTGTAATTACACATAGAAAACAGTTAACTATTGACCCAGAAATATGAAAATTTAAGATACTTCAATTCAAGGGAAAATGTTAATAGTTAAGGCTCCAAATCACGTTCACAGACAGGGGCGAAGAGCACGATATGGCCTAAGTCAGAATTTGGAGGAAAACATGCTTCCTTTGAGGCTTGCAATCCCAGGTGCTCTGGTGCTGTGCACTTTGTTTTGATAACACTGCCATGGGAAAATGAGAAACATTTAGAACAGTTAGAATAAAATTATAAAACACGAGGGTTAATCCAAGGACTCTAAAATTGATACTTGATTACAAAAGATGTAAATTTGAGGCTTTAATTAGGAATTATTTTGGTTTCAGATAGAAGTCTAACAAATTTGGTCTTTTGATTTTCTAACTTATGGCAGATGGAAAATAAAAAATTGAAAAGGGGTGTGAGCTGAAGGAGCCTGAAGACCCCAGAAATGAGAGGTGGCAGAGTGACACGAGACTGGGCAGAATATCCAGAGAAGTGAGGGGAGCTCTTACTGAAGTCATATGGGGCTACCTGGGGTTCAGGGACACCACATTCCTTCTTAGCCCTAAGGGCATCCCTGTATCACCAGAAAGGCACATCTGCTCCTCTGTGTGACGCGGAGGGGCCACAACACCGCTGGTGTGACTTCCATCCAAAGCTGCTTTGGGGGGTGTATGCTACAGTTATTTGAAGAATCTGTGTGTGGAGGTCCTGCTTCCCTGGTAGCACCAGACGACGAATAGCACTCCTGTGGTAACCTGCTTTTGGGTATTGGAAATGGTGCCAGGAGGAGGGCACAGCAGAAAAGGGCATCAAATTCAAAATTCTTACAACCAACCCAACTCTGGGTGTCCAAAACTGGGCTAAATTACATGCAGGTGTCCAGGTGGCTCAGTGATGGCCCAAGAGACACCAGAGTCGGAGCAGACTACAGCTGGAGGGCCTACCAGGTCATAACCAGGCTACTCCCACGGGTAAAGCTGCTCCTGCCACCATCACTGGCCTCAGTTGACCAACACTGACAGTGACCTGCTATGTCTGCAGAATCCGTCCATGTGTGCCTGCTCTGCAGCCTCACAGCAATGCTGTGCCTAGGCCCAGCTGGGCTGGGGGATCTTCCAACAATACTGGCTAGCTGGGCTGATGCCTCCTCATATTCAGGTCTGCCAGCAGCTCTGCACTTGGAGCACCCCTTCCTGCTACCCCCAAATTCCCATGGTCCTGCTTGCCAACACCTACCTGGAGCTGGAGGTCATGGCTGCCCTGCGTAGACGTAGATGGGCAGGCAGGGTCAGGATGGCAGGGAGGCAGAACAGGGCTGGACTGCACCTGGGATTTTACCACAGCACCTGGGGCTAGGATGACCGGTCTGTCCTTGCTCCGCCTTGTGGGTTCTGCTGGGCTCTTGCATTGGCTGCTGCCTATACCTGGGGAGCTGCTTTTGGAGGACAGGAAGGGGCTCGGCTGCACGGCGGGGGGAATGGCATCTCTTGAGCAGCCACCCAGGTGCTGGACACTTGGAAATCCTTCTGTCACTGGCCCGTATGCCTCCTGGGTCTGCAGCCACTGCTGCTGCTTGGCAGCTGGGCAGGGGCAGTCCATGCTGTAAGAGTCCTGCATAGCCAAGGGTTTGTGCAGGAGCTCCTGGGAAGGACAGGCAGGGCTCCCCGAGAGCTGACTCACCACCAAGGAGTGCGGTGGGTGCTCTTGACTCCCAAGTGTGTCCTTTGGGGTACCTAGTGCCCCCTGCACCGATGGGGGCAAACCACAGCACAATTCAGGAGGAATGTCACTGGCTGGCCCTGCCCATGGAGGGCATGAGTTGGCCATGGTTGACTTCAGGTGGTGGAAGGGGTCAGGCTGGGCCTGCCTTGCCTCCACTTCCACAGGGACCATTACTGGCTGGCCTTGGATGGGGGAATCCCAAATGCTCTCCGAGGGATGGGTGCCCCAGGAGGTAGGGTCTGAGGAGATGAAGGGCCCTTGACACTGACCACTGTGTGAGGCTGTCCAGAGCATAGGTTCTTTGCAAAAATCAAGAAAACCAGGGTCTGGCTGATCCAGGTGTCCAGGGACAACATTTTCTCCTAAAGGGAGCAAAGATGTGTGGTTTGGCTGAAACACCTGAGCAGGCTGTCTGGGGCTGGAGGCCTCAGGGAGGGGGCTGAAGTCAAATATTGTTGGTTTCTGGCATATCCCAAAATTTAAAGCTGCTGCCTGGGTGTGCTGAGGCTGCCACTGTGGAGGGCTCTGGAATGTAGGGCCAGTGGTGAAAAAATGCTGGGTGTGTGTGTGAAGGCAGCTGGGCACTGTGCCCATGTTCTGAGGTGGAGTTACTTCCCCAGTTAGCTGGCCCGAGCCCAGAGAAGGCTGTGGCTTTAGGGTCTGTGGAACAGTTGTGCTGGCTGGTGGGGGCAATGCCACATTTCCACTGTCACGAAAAAGTACTTCCTTTTCCCTGTGGGAGCCCCCTCCCTGACTGGAGGGCAGTGGGTGGAAGTTCTGAGACCCTGCAGGGCCTGAGTCAGCCCTGAGAAGGCTCTCTTCCCACAAACACTGCTTGAGGTCAGTGACCCCCAGGTGCTGGAGAGTGGAGCAGAGATCAGGCTGTTCTTCTGTGTCCTTCTCCAGCAGGGTCTCAATGAGGGACAGGAAGGAGTGGTCTTCCTCCTTCTCTTTCTCTTCCTTGTCCTCATGTCTGCCATTGGACCCCTGCCTCTCCAAGGGTGAGCCTTGGGTGGTTGGGACCATGCAGGACAAATACATGGATTCATCTTGCTGCATCATGGCTCCCAGGAGAGAGCCTGGGTGCACAGGGCCCTGACCAGTGGGGGTGCCCTTCCTTTCCCGGATCCTCTTCCTGGCTGGGAGGGAAGTCAGAGGGCTCAGGGGGCTGCTATCATACAGGATGGCTTCCCCTGTGGTGAAGGTGAACGGCAGTTGCAGGGCCCTCTTGCGCAGGTGATCTTCCCCCTCTGCATTCCTATGGTTAACGAAACAAAAGACCACATCTGAAAATTGATATAAGAATGAAAACGGGGCTCTCCTGGTCAGGGGACAATAGTGGCCAAGTAACTGAGCAAAGGGCAGGACATCGTCTGTTCTGGCTTGTCCATACAAGGGAGAAGCCACAATATCGAACTTGCTCCTCTCTTACATTCCTGGTAAGCACTTTCTGTCTTGGATTCTGAAGTAGTCTGAGGAAACTGCTTATTTGTGGGAGTAGTCCAAAAATCCATGTAGAAATTCCCTAAACTTTAAGTTTACTTTGAAAAGAATAAGTTATTATGCAAATATGACATACACATCTGTTTTTCATTGGGAAAAATAGTTTTCTCTTCCTTCCTCCTCTCCCTTCCAAAAGACTCATGGGATATGGCTGCTATAGGGCTGCCCCAACAGTCATGTAACATCATGCTTAGCAAAGTGAAAAACCTTCAGCTGGGCTGACTCCATTTGATTTGTAGCTCTACAAAGGAAAACTGACCTAAAAGGAGTGCCTTTGGCAGAAGCTGACCAGGATGCTAAGGGCACAAGAATCCCCATCACTGGAGGGGCCTTTAGAGAAGCCGGTATCTCACCTGAAGATCTCTGGTCATAGCCTTTGTCTTTAAGTCTACTTTGCATGAATACAGCCATTCTTGCTTTCTTGTGCTTACTGTTTTTATTACATATGTTTTATTTTACATCTGATTCCTTCCAACTCATTTGTGACACTATTTAAAAACATATCTCTTGTAGAAGACATATAGTTGAGTGCACTTTTTAAAATGCATTTTGATAATCTTTGTGTTTTAATTGGAGTGTTTTATCCATTAACATTTAATGGAATTATTGACATATCTGGATTGGGGTCTTTTATATTACTATTTACTTTCTTTTTGTCCCTTCTTCCCCTACCCCCATCCACCCCTTTCCTGCCTAAATATATTACTTTTTTAAGAAATTAATTTTCATTTATATAATGGATTTTGGCTCTATCTTTTGCATTATATTTATAATGGCTGCTAGAATTTATGAAATACGCCTTCAACATTTCACTGTCTACTTACAATTAGTACTGTGTCACTTACATAAAACATGCACCTTTCCATGGTATAGTCCATGTGCTTCTAAAACCAATCTTTTATGTTAGTGATGTCACATATATGGCATCTACATATGTTATAAATCACATATTATATTCTAATTTTGGCTGTAAGCAGTTGTATGTATTCTTTAAAAAGTAAAAAAAATAATATTTAATATTTATCCACATGTTTACCATTCTCATCCTCTCCACTCCTTTTTTTGAGGTTTAAGGTCTTAGTGGATATTATTTCCCTTCAGCCTGACGTATTTCTTTTAGCATTTATTAAACTGTAGGTCTACTGGCAATAAATTGTTAGGGTTTTTTTTGGTGTTGTTGTTTAATAGAAATGTCTTTATTTGCTATTATTTTTGAAGGATATGTTCACTGGTCACAGAATACAGAGTTGACAAATTTTAAAAGGATTTCATAGATATTGTTCTAATGTCTTATGATCACCATTGTTTCTGATGAGAAGTCCACAATAATTGGAATCATTGTTTCTTATATGTAATGTCCTTTTTATCTTAAATTGCCTTTAAAGTTTTCTCTTTATCTTTGGTGTTCAACATCTGACAAGACTATGCCTTGGTGTGGTTTTCTTTGTATTTATCCTGATTGGAATTCACTGAGGTTCTTGAATCTGCAGTTACAATTTTCATCAAATTGGGGAAGTTTTTGGTCATTATTTCTTCAAACATATGGACACATGCTTGCACACACACACACACACACACACACACACACACACAGATGGATGGACAGATAGACAGATATAGATATATTGCCCACTCTGTTCTTTTTCAGCATTCCATTTACCTACATGTTAGACCTTTTGATACTGTCCCATAGATCCCTCAGGCTGTTTATTTCTTTTTTCAATCTTTTTTCCCCTCTTTGTTCTATTGATTGGATGATTCTATTCATTTAGCTTCAGGTCATAAACTCTCCTGTCATCTCCAATCTGTTGTTAAATCCACCCAGTGAGCTTTCTATTTTAGATATTATCTCAAATTTTCTGTTTCTTATAAAAAAAAAATACATGGAAGCCCCAAAGAAAATGAAAACACAACAGTCCAAAACCTTTGGGATGCAGCAAATGCAGCCCTAAGTGGGAAGTATATTGCCATACAGGTCTACCTCAAGATGCAAGAAAAGTGCCAAATACAAAACCTAACCTTACACCTTAAGGAGCTAGCAAAGGAACAGCAAATAAAGCCTAAGGTCATCAGAAAAAGGAAATTAATAAAGATTGGAGCAGAAATAAACAATATAGAAACAATAACAAGTAGTAGAAAAGATCAATGAAATGAAGAGCTGGATTTTTGAAAGAATTAATAAATTGATAACCTCCTAGCTAGACTTATCAAAAAGAAAAGAGAAAGGACCCAAATGAAGTCACAAATGAGGAGAAGAAATCACAAGGAACACCACAGAAATACAATTATAAGAGAATATTATGGGGACACCTGGGTGGTTCAGGCAGTTAAGCATCTGACTCTTGGTTTTAGCTCAGGTCATGATCTCACGGTTCGTGGGTTCAAGCCTCACACTGGGCTCTGTGCTGACAGTACAGAGCCTGCTTTGGAGTCTCTGTCTCCCTCTCTCTCTGCCCCTACCCTGCATGCTCTCTCTCTCAAAAAATTTTTAAGAAGAGAATATTATGAAAAATTATATGCCAACAAACTGAGCAATCTGGAAAGAATGGATACATTCCTAGAAACGTGTGAACTACCAAAACTGAAATAAGGAGAAATAGAAAACTTGAACATACTCATAACCAGCAAAGAAATTGGATCAGTAATGAAAAAAATCTCCCAACAAAAGTCCAGGGCCAGATGGTTTCAGAGGGGAATTCTACCAAACATTTAAAGAAGAATTAATACCTATTCTTCTCAAACTGTTCAAGAAAGAAAGAAAGAAGGAAAGAAAGAAAGAAATGGAAGGAAAACTTCCAGACTCATTCTACAAGGCCAGCATTACCGTGATTCCAAAACCAGACAAAGACCCCACTAAAAAAGAGAATTACAGGTCAATATTCCTGATGAACATGGATGCAAAAATTCTCAACAAGATACTAGCAAATTGAATCCAACAGTACATTAAAATAGTCATTCACCATGATCAAGTGGGATTTATTCCTGGGCTGCAGTGTGGTTCAATATTCACAAGTCAATGTGATATACCACATTAATAAAAGAAAGGATAAGAACCATATGATCCTCTCAATAGATGTGGCAAAAACATTTGACAAAATAAAGCATCCATTCTTGATAAAAACAAAGTAGGTATAGAAGGAACATACCTCAACATCATAAAGCCATATATGAAAGACTCACAGCTAATATAATCCTCAATGGGGAAAAAATGAGAGCTTTACGTCACAGAAAAACAGTCCTCTTTCCTCAGGAACAGGACAGCGATGTCCACTCTCACCATTAATATTTAACATACAGTACTGACGGTCTTGGCCTCAGTAACCAGACAATAAAAGTAAATGAAAGGCACCCAAGTCAGCAAGGCAGAAATCAGACTTTCACTATTTTCAGACGACATGATACTCTATGTAGAAAACCCCAAAGACTCCACACAAAAAAATTGCTAGAACTGAAACATGCATCTAGCAAAGTCATAGGATATAAAATCAATGTACAGAAATCTGTTGCATTTCTATACACCAATAATGAAGCATCAGAAAAAGATATCAAGAAATTAATCCTATTTATAACTGTACAAAAACCAATAAGATATCTAGTAATAAAACTAACCAAAGAGGTAAAAGATCTGTACTCTGAAAACTATAGAACACTTATGAAAAAAAATTGAGGACACAAAGAAATAGGAAGGCATTCCATGCTCATGGATTGGAAGAACAAATATTGTTAAAATGTCTATACCACCCAAAGCAATCTACACATTTAATGCAATCCCTATTAAAATACCAACTGGGGCACCTGGGTGGCTCAGTCGGTTAAGCATCCGACTTCGCCTCGGGTCATGATCTCACAGTTTGTGGATTTGAGCCCTGCGTAGGGCTCTGTGGTGACAGCTCGAAGCCTGGAGCCCGCGTCAGATTCTGTGTCTCCCTCTCTCTCTCTGCCCTCCCCCACTTGCACCTTCTCTCTCTCTCAAAAAATAAACAATAAAATAAAATAAAATAAAATAAAATAAAATAAAATACCAACAGCATTTTTCACAGTGCTAGTACAGACAATTCTAAAATTTGTATGGAACCACAAAAGACTCTGAATAGCCAAAGCAATCCTGGAAAAGAAAAACAAATTTGGAGGCATCATGATTCCAGACTTCAAGCTATATTACAAAGTTTAGCCATCAAGACAGTATGGTACTGGCACAAAAACAGAACACATAGAACAGAATAGAAAACCCAGAAATGGATCCACAACTATATGGTAAAGTAATCTTTGATAAAGCTGGAAAGAATATCCAATGGAAAAAAGACAGTCTCTTCAACGAATGGTGTTGGGAATCCTGGACAGCAACATGCAAAAGAATGAAACTGGACCACTTTCTTACACCAGACACAAAAAAGAAATTCAAAATGGATGAAAGATCTAAACGTTAGGATACCATCAAAATCCAAGAGAAGAGCACAGGGAGCAACCCCTTTGACCTCAGCCAGAGCAACTTCTTACTAGATATGGCTCTAGAGGCAAGGGAAACAAAAGCAAAAATAACTATTGGGACTTCATCAAGATAACAAGCTTCTGCACAGTGAAGGAAACAATCAACAAAATGAAAAAGCAGCCTACAGAATGGGAGAAGATATTTGCACATGACATATCTGATAAAGGGTCAGCATCCAAAATCTATAAAGAGCTTATCATACTCAACACCCAAAAAACAATCCAGTGAAGAAATGGGCAGAAGGCATGAATAGACATTTCTCCAAAGAAGACATCCAGATAGCTAACAGACACATGAAAGGATGCTCTACATCACTCATCAGGGAAATAGGAATCAAAACCATGATGAGATACTACCTCACATCTGTCAGAATGGCTAAATTAATAACACAGGAAACAAGTGTTGGTGATGATGCGGAGAAAGGGGAATTCTCTTACACTGGAATGCAAACAGATGCAGCCACTCTGGAAAACAGTATGGAGATTCCTCAGAATGTTAAAAATAGAACTTCCCTATACTCCAGCAATTGCACTGCTAGGTATTTACCCAAAGGACACAAAAATACTGATTTGAAGGGGCACATGCACCCCAATATTTATGGCAACATTATCAACAATAGCCGAACTATGAAAGGAGCCCAAGTGTGCACTGATTAATGGATGAAGAATACACACACACACACACACACACACACACACACACACACACGGAATATTACTCTACCATCAAGAAGAAAGAAATCTTGCCATTGGCAACAACATGGATGGAGGTAGAATGTATTATGCCAAGCAAAATAAGTCCATCAGAGAAAGACAAATACCGTATGACTTCACTCATATGTGTAATTTAGAAAACAAAATGGATGAATAAATGCAAAGGGGAAAAAAGAGAAAGAGGGAAACAAACCAAAGGAGATTCTTTACAATAGAGAACAAAGAGGGTTGATGGAGGGAGGTGGGTAGGAGATGGGCTAAATGGGTGATGGGCATCACTTGTTGGGATAAGCACTGGGTGTTATATGTAAGTGATGAATCACTAAATTCTACTCCTGAAAACAACATTACACTATATGTTAACTAATGAGAATTTAAATAAAACTTTGGAGATGAAAAAAATTTGTTTCTTATAGTTTCTATTTTTCTGTTCTGAATTCATCATAGCAGTCATCATAGGCATATTTTCTTTCATGTCCATAAGCATAATTATAATAGTTGCTATAAAATTCTTATCTAGTGTTTGGGCCTTCTTAGAGCTGGTCTCCAGGGACTGCCTTTAGTTTTGAAACTTTCTTTCCTGTTTCTTCATATATCTGGTAATTTTGGGTTGCATCCTTGACCAAACAACAAGTAAATTTGGATTTAATCCTGGACATTGTGATGATATACTGTAGATTCTTATTCTGTCACGTTCCTCCAAAGACCATTGACGTTTTTGCTTTGTTGAACTTGACCGAAAATGCAAATTCTGTTTCCCTTGTGATGGGCAACAGCTGGAATCTGTTTGGTTTCTTTAGGCCTCAGGTTGGCTATCCATCCCACACATACATGGTTCAGGGGTGAGCGGATTTGGGCTAAGTTTATTCACAGAATTTGAGGGCTCTTTCTCTTCAGCTCTCTCTCTAGAAGAGAGAAGTTAAAAACTAGAAATTATTATTTCATTTTGCAGCTGCTGCGGTCACTGCACTCTCTGTTGTCTAGTTCTCATGTCATTGAGACCATAAATTTTCTATTTGGGTGTTAACCTGCCCAGCCCCCAGGGCAGTCTTCCTTCAGACTAAAAGCAGTAAAACCCAGGAAACTCACCCAGTGCCATTCCCTTCTTTCAAGTGTTGATTCTCCAGTGACTGGTTAGTTGTTGTTGTTTTATAATATTTTGTCCAGAAGTTTTAGTTATAGCTGTTACTATAGCTGTTACTTATGGGAGGGCTGATGCAAAAATTACCAGCAGCAGAACTGTTCCATGAAAGTTTCACAAAAAGAGAATCAAATGTGGATAAAGTTTCATTGTAAAAGGTATGAAGGTAAATACCTTTCATTGTAAAAAGGTATGATTTAACTTTCCCTATCCTTCAAATGGTTACTCTGTTGCCCCAACCTCACTTACTTTGTCCTGTTCTCTGGATTTAAAACACTTCTTATTTGAGCAATTAATTTTTCATATGTTAAGGTAGTTTTGTTTCTTGACACCTTGCTTCTTCATTGCTCTATCTGGTGCTAGGACAATCTGTGCTAAAGTCGGTGTTGCAGTAAGACTGACCAGAGAATAATTTGGTACAACCTTTCTTGAAAGCCATTTGATAATAGTATCAAGGGCCTTTGAAATGTTTTAACCCTTTGACCTAAATATTCCACTCCTGAGAATTCTCCTAAGGAAATCGGAATAGCAGCCAGATATTTATATACAAAAGTGTTCATCACAATGCCTTCATAAAAATGGAAAAACCCCTCCCTAATTCCAATATTTAATAAAAGGGTATGATGTATCCAAAGAGGAGTATACTGTACTGTCATAAAGATATTTATGGATACTTTTGATATGAGAACTTGCTTTCAACTTATTCTTAGGTGGAAACACCAGAATATAAAACTATATATAGAAAATAGTTTCAAGTATAAAACTTAAATATGAGCCAAAACATACCTGAAGGAAATACATCAATATATTGACAACAATTTCTCTGAGTAGTAGGATAACAGCTGATTCTCATTTCACTTTTGCAATGTTTTTCATTTTCTAAATTTTCAAGAATGGGAATGTATTACTTTTATACTTAATGAAATCAACATCACTCAACAAAACTACTGGGTTCTGAACATCTGGCTCAGTGACGCCAAGGAGTAATAGAGCTGCTAAGAGCCACAGAAAATGCATACTGAAGCTCTCTTATTTTTGCAAGGCAGCAAACTGAGGCACATTTACGAGGTGCTTTATCTGAGACCAGGGTGAAATCAAGCTCAGAATCCAAGTGATTTGATGCAGTTCTATAACTTCCTGTGATCAAAGCATTATTCAGGAAGGCTGTAGGCTCAGAAAGCAGGAACGTTTTGTTATGTGTGGCATATTTTGGCATTATTGGCTTTCTGGTCACTGTTCAAAATATGACACTAATTAGACCTGGGCCAGATAACTTATCTAGGCTCTTTCATCATTCCCTACATTTCCAGTTGTGACCATCTATGTTATACATGTATGCCATAGACCCAAATGGGGTCTGGCCATGTAAGTTCACATGCTGAAAGAGAACACTTCGTGGTCTTAACATGTTGGTAACAATTAGACTCCTCTTGTTTGTATGCATATTACATCTCACAAAGTATGCTGCAGATAGACGAGAAAGTGGCCATGAAACCCGGGTCTTCTGGACGTGAGTGGCAGATCTGTGTTACCCAGAACGTGTACCCTACTAAGGAGAGCCTACAGAGTGATAGCTTTGATTCTCTTCTTCCCTAAAAACCACGTTACCAATGCAGAAAAGTGGCAAAAAAGTGGGGAAGTCAGGCTGAAGGAATGGCATTTCTGAGGAGAGACACATGGTCAGATTTTTGCAGAGTGCAATGGGAAGCAGTGACTTCCTTTGAATATAGCTGACGAAAGATTCTATGTTCAGAATTTGAACTCTGGGTAAATAGAAACCTGGGAATTCTCTGTAAGCAGTTTTCAGGGCCTTGATATGAGCAGCCATTTTGGTTTAGGCCCAAGGAGCCACGAATATGAGAATCGGTGACCCAGGCAAATACGAGAATTTGACATAAAGCCCTGTCCGTGGTTCTTTTAGGGAAAAAAGATGTGCATGTACATGCTTGCACTAATTGTTCAGCAGAAGCAGGCGAGTCCATTACAAAAGCCAAAGGCACAGACGGATACTTGCGCTAATCTCTTTCTCCTGGACTCCGCCAGCCTCACTGGGACAAGGCCGACTGAGTCCATGGAACTGAACCCATGTGCTCAGAAAGCGCCTCCCCTCCCCCCTCGTGGAGTGCTCCGCCTACCCTACTGTTGGCCGAGATTGAGGCCCACGGGAATTGAGCGTCCTGTCTACCGCCAAACAACTATAGATGAGCTGCAGCTTTACTTGGCCCCTGAAAGCTGGGTGGACTTCAGAGGCTGCCAACTCGAGGCTAGAGGAAACCTCGCTCCCAAGGCAGGGTTTCAGACCCTCCCTTCCGGTTCTCATTTGCATTGGGTCCTCTGCACAAGGATCTCGTTGTACCGTACGGGCTTTTAGTTACGTCTTGTGGCACGATTACACTTACGTCGGGACCTTGCTTTTACGACAGGGTCCTCACAGGGGGACCTCAAGGACTTCATTTCGGTCGGGTTTCGCACTGCCGCTGGGCCCCAGCGGACGTCGCGCCCTCACTTACGACAGGTCCCTCCATCCCCCCCCCCCCCCCCCACCGCGCGCCCCGCGTCCCCCGGGGCCGCACTTACGTCAGGGCCCGCTGCCGGGCGACGATGCAGTCGGGCTGGCCGCCACGGAACACCAGGCGGGCGTTGGACTGCACCCACAGCCAGCCGGCCTGCTTGGTGAGCAGCCGGAACACCGTGAGGCCGCTCTCACCCGTCCTCATCACTGTAGAGAGAGCCTGCGCTCGCATCGGAGCTCGGACGCGCACCTGCCCTCCCTGGGAGCCCTCTGCGGGAGGGGGGGGGGGGCAGCAGGCGGGGGGAGGATTTGCCCCAGCCCCGCGGGGCGGGGTTGGGCCCTGAGGGCGCCTCCCGAACTCACTCCGCACGTGATTCTCGGCGCAGTGCATCATGTCGGCCGCGTGGATGAACTGGTAGCCCGATCCTTTCCTGCAGAGTTCGCTGTCGGTGTAACCCAGGACCACCTTGCCTCTGTGCGGAGGAGACACCGCACTCCTTTATGTTACGGCCTTGCTGTTCATCCCTCAAACTCTTAACAGTTCTCCGTTGCAGCCTTTTCTGCTTTGTGCCCACCCACCGAAGCGCCCAGGAGCGGTCTTCCCCAGGACGCTCCAGGTCCGGCAAGGCTACCTCTCCTGCCACAGGGTTGGAGCAGGACCTTTAAGAGGCCTCCGCACTGACAGGATCGTCTCGGACACTTCTACCACACTTGTAATCCAAAATGCTGTTTAAGCCTGTGCTTACTTGCCTGCGCTGTGGAACAGGGGTCTGTCTGTACCTACAGTCACTCATGTGGGTGAACAAGTGAACGTTGGTTAAGGAGAAGTCCCACAGCTTTCATCAAAGGGCTCTGTGACTCCCCAGCATGCTAAGGACCAGTCTTTGAGTAAGAAATAAAACGTGCATATTATAGTTGTAACAACACATTGAATCACTTGCTTTCTAGAATGTGTTCTAAGGGGCATGTTAATTGATTTCCCCAAGAAAGGTTCAGTGGTCAAATAAAATTTGGGGAAAGTTGGGTCAAACCCAACTAAATTAGATTTTTTTATAGTGGGACTTCTTGGGGGTTCACGATGATTAGTTACTAGAAGTCTTTAAGAGGGAGAAAAGTATCACTAAGGATTTGTTCTCTGCATCACACTAATCTAAACCCCATATTCCTACATGGAAGGTTTGCTACACCGCCCCCATAAGCAGCATCTTTTAAACTAACATTACAGGACCTGTTTGGACAGGATTGGCCAATTGTTCTTGCCTTGCCTTTGGTTCTAGATTCAGGATTTGGGCTAACTAGTAACTAGTAACTAGTATCCAAGCACTCTTGGTTCCCTAGGAGTCACGATTTCTGGTCAGAGCGTTGTACCTGGAATCACAGGCTATAGGTGTGAAATCCAATTTGTGTTTTGTTTGGAAAAGAAATGTTTTGTTTTGGAGCTCCAGGATGGTGAGTGGCTGGCGAGGTGTTGCAATGGCAAACAGGGTGAGTTGAGACATGAGGATGCCATCTTCTGATCTATTGTTCTGCCCAGGGAGGAGTTTAAGATGGCCATGGAAATTCAGCTCCTAGAAAAAGCAGACCCCAAATGTAATGAGAAGACAAAGGAGAAGAAGATGTGAAGTAGCTAAAACAGTTGATACAACTTTCCCTTTATGGAACTCAGAGGGTCCAGTGTCCTCCTTGTAGTTGAACAGGTAGGACTCTTCAGTATAGGTGTGTGCAGGCTTGGAGCCTTCTCATTCTGCCTTGCCCATCTGGCCCTGATCATTTTTCATGGCTTCTCCATCCTCCCTTAGGTCCTTGACCCACACAGCCTTTTTCATAGAGCCACAGAGTTGATTGAGCTGTGAGAGGGTGTACGATTCCAGGAATTGATAGGCACTTTTAGCTGATTTGGGGGATGGTGAAGAAGGTGTATATTAACATCCTGAGTTCACCAGGGATCTCCACTTAGGACTGTACTGTAGGTAACAGGTGTAACTAAATATCAAGTAAACATGTCCCATATCTTAACCAGGCAGAGGAAGGTTCAAAAGACAACCTGGGATTCTGAAATGGCAGTGAGCTGAAGGCCAGATGGCCCTTCCTGGGATGGTGAGGAAGCCTGGCTCACCCCTTGGGCAGTGTTCCATCTGAGCAGAGCCATGCTCTGTTGTAGGAAGTTCCTGAGCCTGTAAGGATAGCGTGATTACCAGAAACCCAGAAGAGTTGTCCAGCAGGCAGCGGAACCGACAGACAAAACTTCTTTCCAGATAGGAGGGGTCCTCCAAGGGCTGATGTTGAAGGCTGTCAGTGGGGGTGCCACTAAGTGAGAGACAGTTCTCTCCAGGCAGAGCTGGGAAGACAGAAAAGTGAGGAAGCTCTACTAGAACACTCTTCACCACAGAGCCAAAATATTTGTAGCTCTGAAAGAAGCTGGTGGGTGGAGAGAATGTGGGATCATAAGCCCTGTGGCCCAGTGAACCTTGGCCTTGCCTGACAGGATGACCTTGATTAGCCACTCAAGCTAGCTTTACAGTGTCATGAGGATCAAGTTAAAAATGAGATGATGTACATAACATACATATCCAGGAACCCTATTTGCTCTACTGTTGAAATACACCTTGGAACTAACCACTTGTCATCACTTATACCTCTATTGTGCTGGCCAGTCTCTCATCAGCTGGGCAGACCGTCTAGGTCGAGAACAGCACAGACCCTGAACCCAGACCTGTTGTATGAATCTGGGCAAGTTATTTAACAACTCTATTGGCCCAAATTTTCTTCTCTCTCTTTAAAGAAAGTTATTATGAGAACTACATTTATATATGTAAAGCACTTGGAATAGTGCCTGGCACATTGTAACCTTTATACATTGACTGTTACTCTTGTCATTTTTTTTCTTTTCTTGTTTTAACTTTGCCATAGCCTTCTAACTGGTGTCCCTGCTTCTCCCCCTGCCCCTATAGTCTGTTCTCCATTCAGTAGCCAGAGTAACTTTAATATATAGGTCAGATCATGTCAACTATCTGTTTAGAACTCTCCAGTGGCTTCCTACCTCAAAGTCTATAGTGGCCTGCACCCCTGCACCCCTTTCCCACTCAGTCACCTGCCAGTTTCCCATTCACTCTCTGTGCCCTTCTCAGTGTCCTCCTTGCCATTCCTCATCTATGCCAAGTCCACTTCTGCCTCAGGGACTTTGCACCCATGCTATTTCTTGCACCTGCACTGCCCTCCTCCATTTATCTGTAAAAAAGGATGCCACTTTGACTCGTTTTGGAGTGCTGGTTTAGCTTGCTCTCTTCCCTGTCCTAGGGGTTTGTATCCTTTGCAAAGGATAATAAAGGAAAAAACAAACTTTTGGGTTAAATACAAAAGTACCATTGAAGATTCATTAGAAAGTCAAAGAGGCAAAAACCAAATTTGTTATCTTTTGCTATAATTCTCAACCTGACAAGTATGATTATAGTTGTGCTAATGGTTTTGCCTTTGTCACATGAAAATTGATTTGTCTGGACTTTATTCTTCTGCAGAAGAATAAAGTGTAGCAGGCTAGGGAGGAACAAAGGCAGGTTTATGATCTGATAAATTTTACTACTTTTGTAATCTCCTTTAATAAAACCCCTAGCACATGGTACACCATCAATAAATGTTAGAACATATACACACATGTATAAAGCACACATCAACTGGAATTTGGATTAGTTGGGTGGTCTTCAGATATCTTTCTTCCATGTTTATAGCACTGCATTAAAATTTTGCTTGTATTTTGAAAAAAATTATGCATATATTTATAAATATGTAGGTAGACTTCTGTATGGTTTCTGCTACTACAGAGGTATAAGGGTATAAAAAGTATTTAAAAACATGAAATTAGATGCAAAATTCCAGGCTATCCATTGTTAAGGACATAATTCAAACTTGGCAGTGTCAGGCAGTGTACAAAAGTCTGAGCTTCACACTTATGTTCCCTTCTCTTTTGACCCTAGCCAGGCAACACGGACATGGGTGGAGACACAGAAACCGCCCGCACAGAGGTCCAAGCTCAATGCTGAGGACAAAGTTCCTCCCTTCAATGAGCTGATAATCTTATGGGAAAGAAAAAAAGTGAAGTCCTATTTTGTGATAAGTAACTTTACTCTGCTGGATTTATGGCTAGTCAAGACAGAATCTTGTGCCGAATGTCTGAAGTAGGAGCAGGCTTTGAAGAGAGATGGACTAAAATCACAGCAGCCAAAGCTGAATTGAGTTAAAGCTGTATCTTACGAATTTACACAACCATATATTATAGTCAGCCTTGTAAATTTATTCTTGCTTAATATTTTTGGTTATCTACCACAAAAAGGATGTCGTTAGTGTGCAAATATTGGCACATGGATTCACTTTTTTTTTTCTAATTGAAGCCTCTGTTTGAGTATTTTATTTTTTTCTAACCATCCGTCACAACAAAGCACAGAAGAGCCTTTCTTTGCATCCTCTGTGGATGCATTAAGTGTACTCTAAATCCTTGGAGAGGGGTCCTGTATCTGGATCTACAAAATGGCATTTACTTGTAAAGAACAGTATTGCCTTTTGCCTATGGTATCCCACCAGTTGGCAGAGTAACACGTTATGGCCATAATGGCCACCTAACTTGTATACTCACTAGATGCACAATTATGAGTCCGTGCCAGCTTGATCATTGTTCAGAGGATGCACCTGCCTGGGCAAGTAGGATATTTCCTCCAGCATGAGTCTTATCACTCACCAACTGGGTCCATCTGGGCAAGCATCACTCTCTTCATCTGAACATTCATTTGTTCAAGCAGCTAATGTTTACTTTGTCTCAGACACTGTTCCAGGCGCTGGGAATACATCAGTGAACAAGATCATCAAAAATCCCTCCCTGCATCCTACTGGTAGTAAAATCAACAGGTACTCATGCCTCATGCATAGTTTCCAGTTCCTAGGAGGACCAGATGAGGTCACAGATATGAGATGTAGAGTCCTGTGCCAACGCACACTACCTGATTCGTGATTGCAGTCCTTCCTCCTCTCTTTCCCTCATATTCGTGGGACTTAGTGAGTGCTCAATCAGTGCTTAATGAAATCTACATCTGAGTGAGAAAGCCTGACTTCCTCATCTAATTTCTTCCTCACGGAAGAAACACATGTATACCGCGTTGAAACACATGTAGAGGATTGATTTTGTATTTGCCCTTTTCCCCCCAAGCCTTCCTGACTTACGGTGGCTGTCCTGCTCTCCCTCTCTGCTGATAGGTGCTGCATCTGGAGGCCAGAGAAATTGGCTCTGGAACATGGCTCTATCCTCCTTGTGGATCAGCTCGAACACACTCTGATAGATGACATCTGACTGCAAAGACCAAGGGGCAGTGTCACACTCCAGGGGATGCTTCTTTCCTTCCTGAGGCCAGGTATGACCTGTTCACCTCCAATGAACCTAAGTCATGTCTAGCACCTCTGATCCTTCCAGGCATCGTGTACTCACCTGTCTTTGTCCCTCCCCATCCTGGGTCTGGTTGGTGCACTGTTTCTGTTTTCCTTCTCTGGTTTTGTACAGCCATCTTATCAGGCTGCTGCTGTCCCCAGACCCAGAAAACATCCATGAGGTGGGCACTCCCATGGTGTTGGAGGCCATGTCTGTATCCTCTCTTGAAAAGGGTGGCAGTGCTTGGGGCCAAGGGAAGAATGACTGTCTAGCAGACAAGTCACAGGTCATTAGCAGGGAGATGTCTGAGGTGGAGACACCCTTTGGAAGCTACTGAATAGCCCTGGAGAGTTGGCTTAAAGTTCTATGGAAGGAGAATGTTGAGCTCTTCTGGATAACAAAATTAAACTGGATTAGAACAGAAATCTCATTTCCAGGGAGAGCCAAGTTTGTTCTGTCATTTGTTGAAGGAGATGAGTGAATATAAATGCTAATGTATTTATACATTATATAATGTATTCACTCTATAGAAATGGGCTCAGGGGCACTGCGGGCAGGGGGCTCAGTCGGTTGAGTGTCTGACTCTTGATTTCAGCTCAGGGCATGATCTCATAGTCGTGGGTTGGAGCCCTGTGCTGGGCTGAATGTGAAGCCTGCTTGGGATTCTCTCTCTCTCTTTCTCTCCCCTCCGCTGCTTGTTCTCTATCTCAAAATAACTAAGTAAACATAAAAAAAAAAAAAAAAGGAAATGGGTTTGGCAATGTAGTGACTTGAATGTGAACAAAATTTAAGGTATCCTATCCCCATACAGATTTTGCAAATATTTTACACATAAGGAGAATGTTAAATTGTTTTCAAGCCAGTTTGCCTTGAGAAGTCTTACTGTATTCCTTGTAAATCAAGCAGGTTTAATTTTAAAAATGTAATAAGTCAGAGAGCCTGGGTGGCTCAGTCAGTTAAGCATCCAGCTTCAGCTCAGGTCATGATCTCATGGTTCATGGGTTTGAGCCCCATGTCGGGCTCTGTGCTGACAGCACTGAGCCTGGAGCCCGCTTCAGATTCTGTGTCTCTGTCTCTCTCTGCCCCTCTCCCACTCATTTTCTCTCTGTCTCTCTCTCTGTCTCTCTCTCTCTGACAAAAATAAACATTAAAAAAGTAAGAAATGTAATGAGTGTCTCTACTGTTGCTTGTAGTGAATAATTTTTTAAGTTATGTTTTATTTGAGTATAGTTTGGGATTATTCTTGATCTTCTGAGAGGAATTAAGTGCAGCTGAAAGTTTTCTGTCAGCAATAAAAAGTTTTTCTGGCCCAAATTCTACCCCAGATAAGTTATTCTTCTTCACTCTTCCCCTGCATCTCTGAACCCACACAAAGCATGATCTTTAGAAACCTGTTGTATATAACCATTTTCTGCACTAAATTCAGGGAAAATGAACTTTTCAGGAGCATATCCATCCCAGCACATGGCATGGTGATAAATACTTACAAGCGTCTGGCTTAGCTGATGAAAGGACAGAGACATTGTATGGGCCTCCAGGCTGGAAGGAGGTGAAGGGCCAATGGCATGAAGATTGGAGGGGAAATAACAGAGATGGCAGCATGGGGGCTGAGGCCAAGGGAGGTGGGCTTCCAGGGGACCACCAGGGCAAAACAGAACAGACAGCATGGAGGAGTGCAACAGTGCTCTGACAGTGCCCAGCACCCGACACATCCGTGCTCCCTGCTTCTACCTGGTCGAACTCTAAAAGCCATACACAGCACTGGTGTGGGAGAGCTGTGCACAGAGGCAGAGGCCACAGGCAGTGACCCTGACTTCTCTCCTGTTCGCCCACATTGCTGTCATTCTGTCTGCAGCTCTTTTCACTGCCCCTGGAGGTTCTGAACTGGAAAGCATCACAGCAGGGCAGCCCTGCCTCCCCTAACCACACTGCACAGAGAAACCCATTGCATTTCTTGGATATGAAGGGCTTTAGCCAAGTTTATTTTTTTCTTTCTTTTGTAAAGTCTTCTTATAAGGGTCCCTATCTCTGCACCCTCCCTCACATCACATTTGTCCTCAGCAAGGGCAAGGAGGCAGAAAGTTCGATGCTGACAGTGTGGGTGTGGCAAGCGCTCAGGCCTCAGGTCTGTCTTTGACAAATAAAACTCCTTCTCAGATTCTCAGCTGAAAACCAGATACAGCATAATGGTACTGACTGGCATTTTTTCTAAAGGAAAGGTGAAAAGACCGTAAAACTTCTCAGCAAGTGTCTTTTCATCACAAGTGAGGCGTAAGTCCAGAGCTGGTGTGGGGTATGCTGCGCACATCCATGAGTGCAAGGTGGGCATGGGAATATGTGAGGAGTGGAGATGGAGGGATTTTGAGTCTTCCTATTGCCTTGATTTCAGAAAACCTTCTGTTGCTATGGCGTTTTATGAACCCCTTACACTGCATGGTATTCTTGGTGAGCGATGCACTTGCACAAGCATGGCTGTTTTTCAGTCTGCATGGCAGTTGTGTGGAGCATGGAATGTCTTCCCTCAGCATCAGCAATGAAAATGCCCTTCAGGTCTCCAGCTGCAGGGAGTATAACTGAGACACGTCCCAGCTGCTGCCCACTAAAATCCACTGTGGCAGCAACTGTAAGGCAGGCCTGCTCCTGGGAGATGGGACTTCTCTGATGGGCAACTTGGCCATGAGGGCTCCCCTTTGGCCTGTTCAGCTTCCTGAGAGCTGTACAGTTGGCTAACTCTCCTTGCCGGGGTCAGGTCAGAATTTTTAGGACATACAATTTTTACACCCTTGCAGGAACTTCAGAAAATGGGACAAACTAAATGCTGGGATGGCTCTTAGAGGCTGGAAAAAGCCAGTGGTCAGTGAGAGGGTAATACCGGAGTTGTCCTGGCAGATGGCAGAGAAAGGGACAAAAAGGCTGAGTGAAATGGGTGTGGTGGAATGAATGCAATTCATCAGTTCAGAAGACCCACCAGAGATTGCATACCATGTGAGGGCCCAGGGACATACCACACACCAAGGCCTACAGGAGTGCACTACTGGAGGGGCCCCATCATAAGAAATTTGGTATTAAGGTGACTGTTCTTTTCAGGTCAGGGCTGATGGTAGGAGAGGAAGACACTGGGGTGGGCTCATGAATGTCCATTGGGATGATGGAGCCCTGAAGTAAGAGAGGTCAGATGGCAGCAATTACTGACCAAGCCTGTAGGCTTCAATTACAGTGGTGGCCAGCAAGGTAGAAGAAATAATCAAGGGGGCTTGGACCATAGGGACTTGTGGAGATGGTTAATAGAGCATGGCATCCCAAGGGGCAAAAGAGATGGGCAGCCAACAACAATGCTGCTTAACATCTACAATTAAAGGCAACAAAGGAGGGTCAGTAGGCTGGGGGCTGTTACCTTGATGAAAAATGACAATCCTTTGCTCAGTTTCTGGACCTGAGACAAATTTCAGATCTGAAATCCACTGAAATCCACTGGCTGAAGAGGGGGCATGGTCCCTAGGAGGAAGGGCCCTGCCATGCCATGGTAAGATATTGACCATACCTTCTATCCAACAGCACCACTGTCCATGACCTCCTTGAGATATGTATGATATTGCATGTGATTTACTATCTTGACTGGAGTCAGTTTGGGGGTAGGTTCAGGTAGTTTCAGGTAGTTTCAGGGGTTTCCCCTTGGCCTTTTATATTTCGATATATCTCACTCCATGGGCCAAGGACCCAGTCTGGGGGTTACACCAGCTGTCAACTAGATTGATTCCAATTACATGCTTATGGAATGGGTAAATGACCACTGGGTGGGTCCTGACACTTTGTGGGCTTGCTGTGAGCCAGACTTTAGCTGGCACTTCAGGTATTATCTGGCCCCCATGGGCCTTCACCCTGATGTGAGGACCATGACGGCACTGGATACCGGGACTCAGACCCTTCAGTAGTGAAGGTTTGCATCACACCTCTGGCTAAGCCATCAAGGTGTGCTGAGGTGATGGCTGAGGGTGAGAAGAATTCAGAATGGAGAGCAGAGGAGTTCCAGGTGCTACTCTGAGACCAGCTGGAGTTTGTCCCACTCACCTCTCTTTTTTGAGGTTCCCCCAGGGAGAGAGGCTCATAGGAACCAAGGAGGATTTGCTCTGCAAACCCTGGTGGAGGAGTAGACTTGTGAAGCACAAGAAGTGAGTGTGATGGCCATGATAATGTGCCTCTTAGGTTTCTGACTGAGGTTATTGTAAGGTTGCCTCTCTTTGATGTACCACTTGTTTGTGCTGGGGCCACAATTCCTATGGATTGCCCCCAGCCAGTGACTAAGCATGGTAGGGACACCAAGGCAGGCCTGTTCCTGGGAGAAGAGGAGCTTGCCTGCCGCATGACTTTGGATTGAGGATGTCCCACTGGCCCTGCACTGCAGTAGAAGACTCTTCCACCCACCCCCGTTCCTTCCTGGTCTCTTGCCCAAGGGACAGACCTGCTTTCCCCAACCCCTGCTCCCTCTTGGGTCCTCCCAGGATTTTCTCCTGAGAAATCTCTTGTTCATCTCATCCTACCTTGGCATCTGCTTCTCAGAGGATATGGGTTACCATGCCCTCCACTGGATGAAAGAAGCCAGTGCTCTAGGAAGGCTCAGTCAAAGACATATGACGTACATGTGTGGGACTGAGATGGAGACCCAGGTCTTCAAAATTCCATTACAGCCCCATGTAGACAAGCATTACATGGCCCTGCCTCACCCCCTAGATTTGCCAAACTCTTCAACTGAAAAATAAAACCACTCACTTGATGAAATCCCAAGTAGTCCTGGACCGTGGGAGAGACGTATAAAACATAGCCATCCTCTGTAACTGCCATGAGGAAGCCGTTGAGGGCCTGGGGAGAGGCAGAGAAGAGTTAGTTCAGATTTTTCCTCATTTCTGTCTTGTGGAGCTCCCGAGGGCTGGGATCAGGGTTGTTAGGTGTTTCTGTGAGCTTTCTTTTGGTGCCACTCATACCCTGAATGGTCACTTTTAAAGCAGGGCCTGGGATATCTGGTTACTCATATCTGCTGACTCATGCCAGCTCCCAAAAGAAGGCACAGTGTGTGTGTGTGTGTGTGTGTGTGTGTGTGTGTGGCATCAAAGTACAGCCAAATTCCAGCTTCAGTCTATTGAGAACACTGCAAACTGAATTAAACAAATACACATGCACATGGGCTGTTTTCCCCTCTGCATCTCTGTTGTGGGTCCCACCCTTTGGTTACACAAATCCATTGAAGTCTTCTCATCTGTAGTGGACGACAAAACTGCTCCTTGTTGTCTATCAGCTGAGGCTGCATGTTGGTCTCACCCCAACAGGTGGCTAAAAAAAGTGCTTATTGATCCTCCAATCCCTTCTGGGAGCCACCCTATTAGAAACTTGCAAAGTATACATTTTTAACCATTTCCTCAGCAGATCCTAAGGAGGCATCCAATCTTAGGACATAGTTTTGGTTGTGACTGAGATGCATTTTAATTTTAAGCTTTCAGTTGGAAACATTTTTCTATACTTATGTCAGGGAAACATATACCTGTAGTTTAAAGCCACTCCCCATCCCCAACATTTCCAGGTACAGATTACAAACAAATGCTCATTAGGAAAACTGTATTTATTCAGCGGTATTTATTGAACACACATGTTCCCAAATCTAAGCCCAAGCCAAATGTGACAAACAGCCATTGACCTCCAGGAGAAAAGAATTTACATGGGAGACAGGCTCAGTGGGGAGCACAGAGAACAAACAATACAGTGCAGCCTGCTGTGCGTTTCACAGCAAGATGTAGGGGCTTTGGGGTCTAGAGTTCACAGAGGAAGGTGGGATCTGGGCCCTGGCAAGAAGCCAGAGCTTGGCCTCAAGACTGCAGGTGGTTTAGCTTGAAGGAAAAGAGCATTCCTGGGATGGGGTGTTGGGGGGGGGGGGGCGCGGCAGGACGTATGTGCCAAGTTTAAGGTGCTGAGTGACTTCCATGTACTGACCATAGAAGAAAGTGTAAGAAGGTGAGTATCAAAATTTTTTCAGAAGTTATTTATGGTGGTGTGATTTTTGCCTATCTTTATAATTTTCAAATATGAATAAGCTCATTTTTTTAAAGAATATGAACACATGAGCTTGTGGATGGGAAGAGATGTGCCTGGAAGAGGCACTAACCTTGTGTGGTGGGAATAGACAGGACTTCACAATATTTCATCTCAAAATATCCCATTTTTCCTGCTGTCTGGTCCCCATGGTGGGGACTCTGAGAACGCTGCACGCCTTGGGAAGAGGTGATTTAACAAAAAAATGGAGGACTCTTCCTGACATTTTTGTTTCAAAGGCCAAGTTCTCAGGCATCAACAAAGGAAAGACTTAATGGGTCAGTCAAGACAAGAGCCTGGCCAGTGCTGGATGACAGGACATCAGCACAGCTCCCTGCCCATGAGGCTTGAGAGGGCCTCCAGTCTATGTGAGTAAAGATTCAAGAGAGAAGTGAAGAGAGCTTGTATGCTGGGAGGTCCTGAGAAAGCTCAGGAGGGTGGGCATGAGGGCTGTTCTCTCCCATGGAGGATGGCAGAAACCCCAGATAGATTTGAGGTTTGAGGGGCTTTAGAGAAGATATTTTTTATGTTTCTGCACACTTAGGGGTTCTGAGGAAACCTTACTGAGACCTGGGAACATGGGGTCATCCTAGGTTGTAAAAATGTAGACAATGGTCTTATTGTTACCATAGAAAAGTTTATTTACATTGCAAATGGTTAGAGTAAGAACTCATGAACCTTTCCAAGGCTTTTATCCTTCTTTTCAGGAGGGGAGGGTAACAGCTTGTGTTTAGTTTTTTTTCTATGTTTTAAAAATTTGATTTAATTAGTTTATATCCAAGTTAGTTAGCATATAGTGTAACAGTGATTTCAGGAGTATATTCCTTAATGCCCCTTACCCATTTAGTCCATCCCCCTCTCCCACAACCCCTCCTGCAACCCTGTGTTCATTCTCCATATTTAAGAGTCTCTTATGTTTTGTCCCCCTCCCTGTTTTTATATTATTTTTGCTTCCCTTCCCTTCCCTTATAAAGTCCTCATATGAGTGAAATCATATGATATTTGTCTTTCTCTAACTGACTAATTTCATTTAGCATAATACCCTCCAGTTCCATCCATGTACTTGCAAATGGCAAGATTTCATTCTTTTTGATTGCTGAGTACTACTCCATTATATATATATATATATATATATATATATATATATATATATATATATACACACACACCACATCTTCTTTATCCATTCATCCATTGATGGACATTTGGACTCTTTCCATACTTTGGCAATTGTTGATAGTGCTGCTATAAACATTGGGGTGCATGTGTCCCTTCGAAACAGCATACCTGTATCCCTTGGATAAATACCTAGTAGTGCAATTGCTGGGTTGTATGGTAGTTCTATTTTTAATTTTTTGCATTCCCACAAGCAGTGCAAACATCTTTGCCAACATCTGTTGTTGCTGGAGTTAATAATGTTAGCCATTCTGACAGGTGTGAGGCGGTATCTCATTGTGGTTTTGATTTTTATTTTCTTGATGGTGAATGATGTTGATCATTTTTTCATCGTCGGTTGGCCATCTGGATGTCTTCTTTGGAGAAGTGTCTATTCATGCCTTTTGCCCATTTCTCCACTGGATTATTTGTTTTTTGGGTGTTGAGTTTGTTAAGTTCTTTATAGATTTTGGACACTAACCGTTTATCTGATATGTTGTTTGCAAATATCTTTTCCCATTCCATCGGTTGCCTTTTAGTTTTGTTGATTGTTTCCTTCACTGTGCAGAAGCTTTTTATTTTGATGAGGTCCCAATAGTTCATTTTTGCTTTTGTTTGCTTTTGTAAGAAGTTGCTGCGGCCAAGATAAAAGAGGTTTTTGCCTGCTTTCTCCTCGAGGATTGTGATGGCCTCCTGTCCTACATTTAGGTCTTTCATCCATTTTGAGTTTATTTTTGTGTATGGTGTAAGAAAGTGGTCCACGTTCATTCTTCTGCATGTCGCTGTCCAGTTTCCCCAGCACCACTTGCTGAAGAGACTGTCTTTATTCCATTGGATTTTCTTTCCTGCTTTGTCAAAGATTAGTTGGCCATATGTTTGTGGGTCCGTTTCTGGGCTCTTTTCTGTTCCATTGATCTGAGTGTCTTTTGTGCCAGTACCATACTGTCTTGATGATTACAACTGTGTAGTATACGTCGAAGTCCGGGATTGTGATGCCTCCTGCTTTGGTTTTCTTTTTCAAGATTGCTTTGGCTATTTGGGGTCTTTTCTGGTTCCATACAAATTTTAGGATTGTTTGTTGTAGCTCTGTGAACAATGCTGGTGTTATTTTGATAGGGATTGCGTTGAATATTTAGATTGCTTTGGGTAGTATTGACATTTTAACAATATTTGTTCTTCCTATCCAGGAGCATGGAATATTTTTCCATTTGTTTTGTGTCTTCTTCAATTTCTTTCATAAGCTTCCTATAGTTTTCAGTGTATAGGTTTTTCACCTCTTTGGTTAGATTTAGTCCTAGATATTTTATGGTTTTCGGTGCAATTGTAAATGGGATCGATTCCTTGATTTCTCTTTATGTTGCCTCATTGTCGGTGTATAGGAATGCAACCGATTTGTGTACATTGATTTTATATCCTGCAACTTTGCTGAATTCATGGATCAGTTCTAGCAATTTTTTGGTGGAATCTTTTGGGTTTTCCATGCAGAGTATCATGTCATCTGTGAAGAGTGAAAGTTTTACCTCCTCCTGGCTGATTTGGATGCCTTTTATTTCTTTGTGTTGTCTGGTTGCAGAGGCTAAGACTTCCAATACTATGTTGAATAACAGTGGTGAGAATGGACATCCTTGTCTTGTTCCTTACCTTAGGGGGAAAGCTCTCAGTTTTTCCCCATTGAGGATGATATTAGCATTGGGTCATTCATATATGGCTTTTATGATCTCCAGGTAAGATCCTTCTATCCCTACTTTCTTGAGGGTTTTTATCAAGAAACGATGCTGTATTTTGTCAAATGCTTTCTCTGCATCTATTGAGAGGATCATTGTGTTCTTGTCCTTTCTTTATTGATGTGATGAATCACACTGATTGTTTTGTGGATATTGAACCAGCCCTGCATCCCAGGTATAAATCCCACTTGGTCATGGTGCATACTTTTTAAAATGTATTGTTGGATCTGGTTGGCTAATATCTTGTTGAGGATTTTTGCATCCATGTTCATCAGGGAAATTGGTCTGTAGTTCTCCTTTTTAGTGGGGTCTCTGTCTGGTTTTGGAATCAAGGTAATGTTGGCTTCATAGAAAGAGTTTGGAAGTTTTCCTTCCATTTCTACTTTTTGGAACACCTTCAAGAGAATAGGTGTTAACTCTTCCTTAAATGTTTGGTAGAATTCCCCTTGAAAGCCATCTGGCCCTGGACTCTTGTTTTGGGGAGATTTTTGATTGTTAATTCGATTTCCTTACTGGTTATGGGTCTGTTCAAATTTTCTATTTCTTCCTGTTTCAGTTTTGGTAGTGTATATGTTTGTAGGAATTTGTCCATTTCTTCCAGATTGCCCAACTTATTGGTGTATAATTGCTCTTAATATTCTCTTATTATTGTTTTTATTTCTGCTGCGTTGGTTGTGATCTCTCCTCTTTAGTTCTTGATTCTATTTACTTGGGTCCTTTCCTTTTTCTTTTTGATCAAACTGGCTAGTGGTTTACCAATTTTGTTAATTCTTTCAAAGAACCAGCTTCTGGTTTCATTGATCTGTTCTACTGTGTTTTTGGTTTTGATAGCATTAATTTCTGCTCTGATCTTTATTATTTCCTGTCTGCTGCTGGTTTTGGGTGTTCTTTGCTGTTCAT